AATCCAACACCGATATGATTCAGTATCTGAAAACAGAAGGAAATCGAAAGAATTCAGTGGATGTTGGTGCTTCAGAAATTACAAATGTGCTGCACCTCACCATCTGGATGTACCTGTAAGGTCCAGCAATTAACGAGGTGCCACTATCGACGACTGTCATGAAAGGTCCTGGGATATAGTAAGGATAGCCTGATTTTGCTCCGACGGTGATCCCTCTCAGCGGGACTGCCCATAAGGTTTCTCTGATGAGCGGCACCCAGTAGATTGGACCCTTGACATCTTCAATCAGCTTCAGTCATCGAAAGTCATAAGACGATACCTGATAGCGGGAAGTGTCTATTCCACATATGGTCAGCTCTCCGACAACAGCGTTTGCGGAGAAATTGGGACTGAGATAGAAAGCGAAAATAGCCTCCGGACACACCTCCTGCAATTCCGTATTTGTAGGAATACTAAACACTGTGCTTCAGAAACTGGCTTCCTTTCAAACAGGCGGTCTCCCAAGCGTTTCACCTAGACATTGCTCGTTCCTTGGTTTTTTCGAAGCGCTTCAGGTACAGTCTGTTGTGGAATGAGCTATATTTCATGTAAATGACCTGATTAGAGAATATATTTTCCAGAGGTGTCGGAAGATAATCAGCAGAATATGCAGGCCACCCCATGCCAAGAATGCCGTCGTATGGAACGCCCTGGAATCAAAGTGCAGACACCGCATCTCCTTGCTTAAGTTAGTTACATTTCCTGAATGCTTTGGGCTTACATTCATATCGAACACTTCCGACATACAACCAAATCCTTGCCTGAAGCAGTTCACCGAATTGCCGATCTGAAAAAAAGCAGTAACGATCGAGAGTGTCAATTCCTTTTAGGAAGCTCTGAAACTCACGCAGACTTTATCGTAGTCAACTAGACCATACATTGAACCCGTTCCATATCGAACTGGCAATGGATAATTCGTCGGTTGGCAAGAGGAAGAGCGTTCGCAGTGAAACTACATACAACGGTTATAAGTTCATTTCAAGGAATTGTTCTCGAATCTGGGACTCACCTTTTTGTGGTTCTGACAGAAGTCGGTTGTCTGTGAGCAGTTTGTGCACGGAACCCAGAGATTGGATGAGCCGGTGTCAAATACGACTTCGAAGGTCTGAGGAGGATTACCAATCTGGATGGGACCATAGTACTCACACTGAAACAGAGATACAAATATACAGCTTTGGCATACAATTGATACTTCTTACAGCAAAATTATTATAAAGGTTTTCCATTATGTCGTGAATGTTGTTCCAATTTTCCGCGTTGTAGTCATAAGGGCTGTTCCAATATCCCGGAATATACTCATTACCAACAGCCAAGTTTTTATAACCAACAGCCAAATTTTTAATTAATGAGCTTCTTCTTCTTGGAACGGTCGTTTTCTTCAAGGGCACACTAAATCAGTAGTTTTCGTCAGAACGGATTGAGCTTGTGAAGGATTTTCCACTCACCGTATCATCGCCTCGATGCTTAAACATGTCGATAGCAGCAAAAGCAGAAACGTAGTCATTCTGGGACTGCTTTCGATTACTACAAACGATCAGCACATAAGTAATCGTCGCGCTTTAGATATTCAAGCTGTGAAGCCAAAAGCACGGTAAAGTAGAGAGAAGGAGTGGAAGGATTTGAAAAGGATTCATTTAGAAATTCTCTGAAGTTTCTGAAGGCACCACCTTTGCTGAAATGTAGGATATTATCGAATGGGTGTCCCTAGGCTTCTTGCTAGGTAAGAAAAGGTGAGGATAAGCAAATTCCGGAAAAAAAACTAGGATGAAAACTTCAATTTATCATAAAAAGTCACCGAACGGCATGCTAGAACAACCTTCTGATCAGTCTTTCATGTTGGACCATTGAGTCAAGAATTTTGTAAAAGTCCAACTGCAAGAAAACATGGAAATGATAGAAGCCAAACATTACTCATACTGGAATTTCCTTGAAACCTTCATATCTTTGTTTATATGAAGTTGTTGATGATGATGGTCAATATTCAAACCCTTCTTATTGATTTCAAAACGATTTTCAAGTTGTAAATTGAGAATATGGCACTTGAATGATTTTCTGTGGTTGAATAATCATCACACAGAATTTGGTCCTTTTTCAAGATAGTTTTTGCTTCCTTTGATAGGGAAAAATGTATGTAATGGGCACGCGAATTGCATTGCCTCCTTGGCTAAAAAACTTCCCAACGAGTCGTCTCCTCAAGGGATAGCAACGGGATTCATGAACCCATTGCAATCCTCATTTGTACTTGTTGCTCTCGTGAGAAATGCTACTTTCTTTTGGAAATCGAAACAATTGATTTCGGTCCCTTCATTCTTGTTTCGGTTACACAGAGATCGCTCATTTCAATTTTACAGCATCTCATCCCTCATACATAGAAGGACTATTTCTACCATAGAATGGATGATTATTCTGGCCTGTTCAGATTCTTGAACACCAGTAACGCTAATACGGACAGGTTTTGGTAGAAGATACTGTGATCTGTTTCACTGTGTAAGACAGCTGTCCACCAAGCGATCTCGAGCGAACCGCTAATGAAACGGTTCCTGAAACTGCGAACTACCATAGATGATGTTGACCAACACTGTGGATTTAGACAGCCTTCTGCTCTGTCCCTTCCATTGTTATTTGTGAGCACCGATGTGAAGCTTCCACGCCGTTCTCTGGTGCCAATTTCATTGTGATTGTGCTTCCTTTAGAACGTTGTACTGAAGCGCTATAATCTCACATTGATCGATGAACGTTCTGTCGATAGGTCCGTCACTTTGACC